GGTGATTCGAAAGACATTGATCCCTCATTAAGATTCCATTATTATCGAGTTTGCCTTTCGGTCGGTGCCAAAGTTCGATGAACTAATACGCAAGCACTTTACGGTCAATTTATTATATGTGATATGACGACGACGAAACGCCGGAGGGAAGGAGGTACAAAAGTGGACAGATTATTTATTATTTAAGCGCGAAATTTATCGGAGAACTGATTTTACCCCCGGACGGTGTAAAACGTGTTAAGTTCGATCGTTTCTTAAAGAGCCCGCGCGCGACATGATCGTTGCACATAAAATACAGCGCTTGAAATCTCTACGTATCCGAAGCTATTGTTTTATTATTACGGGGAAACTTGTACGGAAATCGCGCGCAAAAATCGACCCGTTGACACGATTCTCGAGATAATGTAATTAATGCTTTATTCTGTCGAGCTAGTCGAACGACAAGTTAAAGGCAAATGATTAATTGGAAAACATAAAAATTGCAAACGCTAAAATGTGTCTGAAGTATCTGTGTATCGCGGTAAATTCTGTCCGCGCCATGATTAAGAGGTAGAGATGTTACGTGAAATGACACGAGAAACTTTACACGCATTTAGACAAATAATGAGCAAATTTATTGCCCTCGGGCTGGAAATCGATGAGACCGCGACCGCGTTGCGGAAGTACGGAGATTATTTATTACCCGTGAGATAGCCCCGTCTGAAAAGCAATGGCAGTTTTTTAGTCTTATCGACGTCGGGGCCGTATTAAAGCGAGGAGAACAAAGAAGAATGACGGAGTGTTTATAAATTTATCGGCAGTGGCAGCGAGGAAATAGTTCGACGCGCAATTTATAAGAATGCTAAAGCATGCACCTTATTTATCATCAAAGCGTGCGACAAAGCCGCCACGTGCGGTTAATGATTTTGATATTATTAAAATCGATAACGCCGATGAATCGAGAAATTGTCACAAAATACAACGTGAGCACAAAAAAAAGTGTAAAAATTACGTGTTAAATTTCATAACTTTAAATTTCAATCTTTTGCGGTAATGTACTTATTTGATACTGTAAAAATAAAAATAAATATTCAAACGACTGAAGAGATGAATGTGTACGTGCGTGTACGCGTATCTGTACACGTGACGGTCGAGTTAGTTTCGATTTGGCCGATTTTGCTTCGACAAAAAATATTTCTCTTGAATGACAATAATAACACTAGCAATGGACTCTAGTGGCGATTTGTTAAAAATGCTATGCCCGCGCGCGCGCGCACGCGCGCGCGAGTGTGCGTGCGCGTGCGTGTGTGATGTATGTGAGACACTTGTTGTTCTCATTCTATTCGGTCGCCGCGATAAGTGTATTATCCGTTAGCGAACATTCGCTGAGCTTTACGATGCGGTGTAGTGTTTTACGGTACATCAGCGGCAAACGGAAAATCACGATTTGTCATTTTCAGTTTGCTTTATGGCCCAGCACTACCAATCGTCGCATGGCTCGGCAGCGTCGCGATAAATCGTTATCATAAAGTACGATTCTTTCTCGCTCGCAAATTGTAAAATACATCGCAATAAAGATACCGAACAGTCCACGTTAAATTTTTATACCTGCAGATGTCGCAAATCACGAGACACAGCATACGAGATATCCCTAAGGATATTAATACACGTAAGTTTTCCGCGTTCATTAAGCGAGCATTAAAATCAAAATGTCAAAAGTTAATTAATTATGCACCGCGGTTGAATCAATATTTCTGGAAAATACAAGACCCCTTTTAAACCAAGATATCGTTATCGAGCAAGGAATTAAACAAGGTAAAAATTATTTCGAGAATTATTAAATTTAAATCCAACGCAGATTGCGAGCTAAAGGTGTTCTTTTTTCTCAAGTCGGGCAGATTTACGCGTAATAAAATATCAAATTACGTTTGATTCCCGTTAATTCTGTGCGTCAGGGAGTGATTTCGAGCGACGGAACGAACCGCCGTGCCTCTCTACGCTCTGATCGCGAGTAGTTCTTTGCGCGAGGGTCTCGGGGGGTTGGAAACTGTCACGGACGTGGCGAAGTGTCGAGGCCGGGTCGTAAGTAAAATGAATTTAACATTTGGCGTTTATATGCGGCCTGCAAACTGCGCGCCGTGGGAACGAGCTCGACAAACTCGACGTCGTGAGTTAGGCGCGACGCCTCGCGTATACGCCTAATATGTATCTGGTGTACAAACGCGCGCATCCACGGCTTCTGTAACACATTACGACGACGGGGGATCCGCTGCCATATGCTGGCGCCAAAATTTATCGCTTACGTAATGGAGAGAGGCGGAATTCACCGAGAGATTACAACGGCCTGCATCCTGCCAAACTTTATCGGCGTTTTGTATCAATGCGAATTTGATAGTTGAACGTGCAAAAATTACGACAGCTTGTACGAGCCTGAAACTTGGAAATTATTCACGCGTTGGCGGACCGCCAATTTCAAATTTCAGATTAAGTAGATATTAGAGAACTTATGCAGGCGGAATTAAACGTGGATTTTGCATAGAACTTTGATAATTGATAATTTGATAACTGATGGGCGAACTTACGGGCGATTAAATCGCGACAAAGAAGCAAAGACGAATATCTTCTCTCTGTCACGAGATTATTCTCTCTGCAATTTTCTTCGGGGCGGAAACGTCCGAGTGCAAATGTCGCGATTATCGTGAAGAACGTTATAGGAAAGATCATTGAGGATAATTATCCTGTAACGCGAGATAACGAGATTGGGAAAAGTACACTGTAGCGAATTGCTCGCTTTAAATACAGGCAACGGCAATTTATCTAACGCCGCCGATGTAATTATCATTGACAATGCACGTTCAAGTATCTGCGACACAATCTACGAGAGCGTCGAGATCGTTCCATTAACGATGGTCAGACATATATAATCTAGTAGAGCTAGTTTAGCAAAATTTCACCCTCGGCTCTCGAAATTCCCGTTACAAAATTACATCTAAATGTAAGCTCGCGTCTACGCGCAATCAAACGACGTGCGAGGCAAACTAATTTCTTATTTATGCCACACAGAATTAAACAAATTATTCTTATCCGTCGGTCCTTTTATCAAAATGTGATATTAATGCGTCGCATTTTACGTCGATTCAATAATTTCTCTAGGAAATGTTAAATGTTAAATTGACACGGAGAAGTGATAAATGCGATTCGCGGACTATTAAGAAATTTATGCGACAAAGTAATTACGATCGAGCGGAGGTAACCGTGTGCTTTCTGACGTTGTAGAATTGATGCCGTCGGTTCGACGCATGGAAATAGCGTTTCCATAATAGTGCGAGGAAATCGCGCCATGGTGATCACCTCAAGTTACCCGCAATTTGGAAATAATTGAACAGGGCAAGATCGAATCCGATGATTTAAGTCGCGCGGCGTATTTCCGGGTTAACCGGCATCTGTGGTGCCGCACAATTTTCTGTGCGTGTGTGCAAAATAATGTGTGCGTGTTCTCAACATCAATTTCATAAAATATTTACAATCGATTTGCGCTTTTGTTGAAGCACATTAAATCAAAATCGGCGAAATCGTTGACGGAACGACGTTCCCCCTCCGCCTCTTCCGGCGGACCTATCGTGGAAAAAAGAAAATCGTCTCAAAGGAAAATCCACCCGAGACACCACGAAATTTGCCACGCCAAGCGAAACAGCGCAGGACGCGCTGAACAAGTCCGATTCTCGCGATCAACATTCTCTCTCTTCTGGAGTGCTGGGTATCCCTGACTCTTTCCTATCTTACTTAATCTTTTTCCTCACGCGGCACTCGATCTAACTCACACATTATAGATAACGGTGCGTGTGATACGTGTGTCGTACGTGTGTAACATGTAATAATATGCTATATATCATATATATATCATATATATCATATATATGCCTATATTATGTATATAGATCCGAGCTGAAGCTACGAAGCGTGAGAACGGCTATCTATGGAGCATCGCTATTGTGTGTTGCACTCGTGAGTCTTGTGTCGGACAGAAGAAGCCGCGAGATGCCCGTCACGGGCGCGGGATAGGGTTTTTCTGGTCACGGCTGGGACGAGGTGGGAGGGGGGTCGAGTCTCTCGTGGCAGCGAGGGATCCCTGATGGCGAACAGACAACGAAAGTGGCTCCATTTGCGACGGCGATAGAGCGCCGGGGATCCCGCGGGAATCCCCGCCTCGCACGCCAAACGGGCGCGACGCAGATAGGATAATTCTCGGCAGTTTTCTGCATGGAAATTCGGTCGCGAGCTCGTTAAGCGAGGACGAGACGCGCACTCGTAATTGGTAATTGGACGGTAATTAAGCGGCGGGAGTGATTCAGACACGTTTTTAATCGCCGTGATTTCGCCGGCCAATTAATTCCTCATTAATTTCAAGATGTGCGTTGTATTAGAAAACTATACAAATATTTTATATAAATATGTATCTTTAATTTTGTTCTATATATTCAGCAAACTTTCATTACAACAGCTTTGTATATTTAGCAGACTCGAGCGGCAGATGTGGAGTTAACAAGATGTTACATTAAGAAATTTATTAATTTTTAAATGGCTTTGTATTTTGTATTAGCTGGAGAATATGTTGTTACAATGAGGAACCGTTAAATGCAAATTGACACGTACAAATTCTCCGTGAGAAAAATCTCGGAAAATTTACACCAACGGATCGACATTTCTCAAGATCTTATCGTACTGGTATCAACAGGCATCGCGTGGCAGACAGAAACTTCGCGGCAGGCTTTCGAAAGATCGTAATCGCGAAAATGAGAGATCCTTTCCCTTGTCGCGCCGCACGGCGGTCACATCGGCCGGCACTCTAGGACAGCCACATTTCGCGGTCCCTCGTACCGTCTTTCACCCTTCACTTCCGGTTTACCCGAGTAAAAGCGCGTGTAGATCATTCGGAAGAATTTAAGGGATCGAATAATAATCTTGGTGCTCTCGGTGTGTATTGAGCGTGTGTCGGTGTGTAAGTGGAGACAGTAGTGTACCTGGTTGCCGTCGTAGGTCCAGGATCCGAACTTCATGTCACAGTGTTGGTCGTCAAAGGGGAACCAAGTGATGTCTATCTTGCATGTGCTCTTGAAGATGCCCGGAGGGACGTACAGGCAACTGCCGTTATGCGTGACCACCACGTTTGTTTGGTACGTCCCGTCGAAACCCTCATCCGCACTAACGTTTCATATCATACTTCCATTAATTACCCTCGTCAGTCGTCAATCGTGAACGTTTCGCGGCCGGTTTAATCGCACGTCTCTTTAATCACCGCGTGATGGAGCGGGAACGTCATCGGTTCTTGTTGCTGCCGGCAAGATCTCGCACGAAGGATATTAACAGACGCAGAACACGAATGTCACGTTCATGTCGGAGCTAAGGAGATGGATGGGATATTTCGAGCATGGCAATTCCTCTCCGTTCCAATTACGCTTACTTTGCGACATTGTAATATCCATTAGGGAAACACTTTGTGTGTTGCGCGGAAAAAAATTAGGCCGATTCAAGATTCAAGCGCGATTAGAAAATGTTTGAAATTTCTCAATCCCCACCTCGCTTCGCGTACGCGCTGCATTTCCTCGCGCGATATGGCTGTGGTGCTTTCGTCATTTATCTAAATCACAACGTCTTTCACGCAACGTCCTGAATGAATAATAAGATGAGAATCACAAAGGTGACGGAGAATAAAACGGGGCACTCGCGAGTGTTATTCATGAAAATGCAAACCGTTTAGGACCGCTTTTACGAGAGGCTCTTTAAGTGCGAGCCGGAACTGCGATGAAAAAGGGAAAGGGTGAAACGCGAGAGAAGAGGAAAAGAGGAAGAGAAAGGATAGCGTGAGCCAGTTCGCGTTAATCCCTTAAGAATAATTTGAAGCGACCACTTAAACAGCGTTAAAGGATAAAGGCGGATATTTGCGCCGGGAGCCCGTGCGCGCCAATTTTTTTAACATATTTACCCAGCGGCTTATTAAGTTTCCGAATGTAAGGGGCGGGCGCAAGGGCGCGCGAGACATTCCTATTCCTCCGGGAAACGTGCTAATAAATAGGATGTCCTTTATGCTGTCGCGGCAAGTAGGTATATACTCGGCGCAGGTGAATCGAATATTAGACGACCTGCGAGACAACGTGTAGAAACTGACACCGCGCGCTCGCGAAAATGTCCGATGTAAGTGGCATCGGCGTTAATGTTCCCTCGGAGTCGCTATGAGAAGGCGGCATTGTCGAAGGTTTCGAGGATGTCATTCTCGCCAATCGAAAATCGATACCGCCGTATCGTTAAAGCCCTTGCGCTCCTCGTTACTTTTACACGTTATCGTGAAATGGAGAACGAAGGGGATAAGACAGAGGACGGAGGGCGGCGGGGCGGGGGGAAAAAAGGGGGCGCTTCAGAGTGAGTCCCCTCGGAGAATCAAGTTAATTAATTTCAGCGGGGAATTGAATTTTCAGCACCGCTGTATTAATCGTTACCTCGCCTCTCTTCGTACGTGATCTTGCCGCGCTCGTCCGTTCATTCGCAATGAGATAGTAAACGCGGTCCCGTCGGTTTTGTGTGTTTTGCCATTTGTCCCAGATCGCGGGGCTGAGCGACGTTTCTCTTTCGGTGTCGATTAACGCGCGGTCTAATCGAACTCGCGCGCGCGCGCGTGCGCGCGCGCGGCCCGAGGCGTCGGGGAAAATAGGCTTCGCGAAATCGATCGGTTCGTAAAACCGGTCGAACGCTCTCTCTCTAATGCACGTTTGTTCTGGCGCGTCACGGATAGCGGCATTGTCGTCGTTGTTGTGTGGCTAATGAAGACTAACGAGAAACGGAATTTCGCCGAAAAAGTGTGTCCGGCTAATTAATCTCGTTCGTACACGACGGAACGAGACTGTGTTGCGGCGCGAGTACCGGGCATTGGATTTTGTCGATCGTGTTCCTCTTTTGCGGCAACTTCGTTATCCCGCTGCCGCATTTGTCTCTGGACGCGTGTGAGGAGCGCGCGATATACGCCGGGACAGAACTACTACAGGCGATTTGCGGTCGTTATCTCGACGATACGTCATTGCGCGAATGCGCGTTAATTAGCCACCAAGAAAATATTGCACCGCTACAGCGATTTATAACAGAATCGTGAGAATCCGCGCACGCGGTATCCAACATTATCGGCGACCTGGTCAATGGAACCCGCAATAACGACGCGTGGAATTTAATGGCCGGATCGCAGGGAGGGGCTTAATTATGACGACATCATCAAGGAGCGCATTAATATGTAGGATAATGGCAATCTTCTGGCGCGGATTATCGCGAGGTTGACGGATCGTTTCCGGCGCGTCCCGGTGACGGGAGCGTGGCATTTACGTCGAGCCGCGACAACGCGATCTCGATTCACCTCTGATATGATTTCACGGAATTCTCTTGGACGGCAAAGATAAGAGCCCTTTTATTTTCATGAGAAACGATCGCGCGCGTTCTTCGCCGAATGGAAATTTAATGAAGTACTGCAAGTAATGCACGTCAGCTCGCTTCCATTATCACTGACGAGTAATACGTTGTATAAGGAAACTTGCGGCACTCTTGATGTAACTTAACGTAATCCCGTGTAATGGAAGTTACAATTTAGCCTGACATTGCATTGCACTCGATACCGCGCCATCATAAACTTCCCGCGAACTTGAGAAAGTTTTCGTTAATACCCCCTCGGTCGTATGACAACAGTGGCCGCAAAAGTTTCCGCTCCAAGAGAAACCAAGTATGCCTGAATGCCTAACGATTACTCGACGTTAAGTACTTGCCCAGGATGGCTCATAGTACGGTTAAGAATGTAAGGAAGTTCCGCACACATGCCGCAAACTGTCGTTACGCGAAATCTTTCTGGCGCCGTTGGCGTACGTTGCTTAGCGAAGCGTGAAACGAAGCGGAAGGGTATTCGGCGCGAGTTAAGGACAAGGTGCAAGTTCGCGCAAGACCGAATTTCCGCGGTCAGCAGATAAATCGCGGCAACTCTAACCCGCTCGAGCCTTGTATCGCGCCGATCTGACGTGTTTGATCAGCGAAAAACGCGACATATCGCGGCAACAAGTGCGATATGATAAGCCCGGGAGTAAAAAAACACACACGCACCGAGGGATTCAAACATCGTTCCGTTGCGGCGGATTTTACTACCGGTCGAGATAGTTGCAGCCGGTGCGCGATAATCAGGATGCACGTATCTCGACGCGCTTATCTGCAGCTTAGCGCCACATGCGAAGGGCCGACGGAAGAATGAGTAGAAGAGCCGCGCGCGGAGGAGAGAAATGGATGGTCAGCTGCGAGTCTCAACGTTGGCGACGTTACGGGCGTAACTTGTGAGAGGCTTATGTACTTTATTCGGTTCTCTAAGCAAGCACCTCTGCGCCGAGGCGAATGTTTGTACGAAAAGTCCGATCTTGAACGCCTCAATTTCCGAATGGAAAGAACGCCCGTGTGTGAATTGGACCTTCGAAATAACAATTGCGGCGGTGAATCGCGCAGGGCGCGCAAGAACCGTCGAATGTCGCTCCGACCGCAGGGGCCACCGGTGGACAGAAGCTAAGAAAAATAGTGGTTTTAATGGAGATTTAAATTTACGCTTTTGGTGAATTAAGGCTTGAGAGGGTGAAAGACAAAACCTTTCAAAGCTTTAATTAAACGTTGAAATTTAAGTTAATCTCTTAAGCGGAATCTTGTTGATCCGAAAATTACTGTTTCTATTTACGTTGGAAGAACAGTTTAATTGATAATCAGTTTCGTTGACAAATCGTGAATCCCGAAATTATTTGATTTAAGCAATTTTCGCGAGAGACAAGCTGAGTTGAAAGATTCATTGCCACTCTGTTTAACGTTAAAGGCTGGAAATTAGCGTCCCGAAATGTATCGACTAAAAACGATCCACTTGGATTTTATCGCAAAATGTTCGAGTAAAATAATAGCTTACTGGGACTTGTGTTAAAGTTATACACGACTGACGTAACATATTCACATTTACTACATATACGTTAGCGCCGAAAACGATTGTACCTCAAGCGTGATTGACTGGCGATAATCAAAGCACGAGCGAGTAAGTAAAATGGCAATTGATGCGGCGCGGAACGGTGGAGCGGAAGGATATTCGGTGATGGGCCTCGAGGATAAAACGCGGCTGGACGGGATTAAAAGACAATGTTTATCGAGCCGTTCTCGCTTCCTCTTCCTTTTGCGGGCTCTAGCCTCTAGTTGCGCCCGGCATGCATCAAAGTCCACGCGCTGTCGCGTTCGTGAATTCCGAGAGGCGCTTTCGTCGATTGTTCCACGTCGAACAAAGGCGAATCCCACTGCGGTGCCTATTGTCGGGTTTTCGGGATAAATTCTGTTCTCGAGGATCGCTGACCCCCCCTCCCTCGATCTCTATGTTTCCTCACTGTGTCCCGTTCCCTCTTCGTTCGTCCGCGAGTTCTCGCTCAGGCAGCACGTCGCTCTCGTGGGTCACGATATTCATGAGAGGAGAGCGCGCTCCTCGGTGTTGTGAGCAACAAGTAAGTCGCGCGCGCCCCGGATAGCAGGCGGCTACCCTCCTTTTGTTCCGCGAGTATAACGAGCATCCCCCCCCCGCCCCGCCCCGCTCATCACTTCACCAGAATGCCGGGTGTATCTTTAAACAATATCGGCGGGGCGGAGGTACTTAAAGCCGATTCAAGGCACGCGATAATCCACGGTGAGCGAGATCGGGCGAGCCGTGAAAAAAAGTGGAACGACGATTATCGGAGGCAATTAAGAACTTGTCGCGCTGGAGAGTTCTTTCGACGCGCGGTAGACTGCTCTGAGAGAAAAGGCTCTACGACGCGCTGCTCCACGGATGATGTAAGCGCCAGTTTCGCTAGACGGTACCTAGGGCGTAAAATCGTTTCCCAAAAACAGCACGCGGTATCGAGATGCGCAATGGCTTGTATAATCAGGGTCTACGTATCGTTATTCGCGCTTCGGTGAAATCATCTTCAGAGGAAACGGCAAAGAGAGAAGTACATCTCAATTAGAACTGAATGATTTTAATGCCGTGTAAAATCACAGAAAATCAATCGACGAAACGTTCTTGGAGTTTCTAGAGGATATCAGCGGGGAAACTGGCAAGTTTGCCTAATTAGTTAATTTTCTGCCTGCTGGACACTCACTGTCTGCAAATCTATCGACGCATCTGATTGTGT